TGATCGGATGGCATGGCTCGGCCTTGCAGACGTGGTCCCTGCTGAATGTTACCTTATATTTTTAATTCATATTAAATATATCGTTCTATCTCTAGCCTAAGTTTGTTCTCTATCATGTAACGAAGTAATGTAGACGATGATGTCCCTTCCACGTAAATCTTATAGATTAGGCAGTTATATCATGATAAATCTACAATTACAAAATTAGGTCTGTTATTAGAGCAGTACCAATATCATAGTAGACCATAATTCTTCAGAGTCACTCTTGTATAACCAACATGCTGACTGCAGTGGACAGGTGGTTAACCATCTTTGATCGCAAAAAGAAGGTTGAGGTCGCATAACTTGACTTCCCTAAGGCTCTTGATAAGGTCGATCATATGTATCCTATCAAAAAGCTCAGACAAATAGGTACCAATTCACCAATAATTTATTGACTTACGTCATATCTAATTAACCAACATTTTAAAGTCAGGGTAAAATTCGTTTTTTCTCATACTAAAGGATGTCCTCGTGGGATTTGAGAGGTTTCAGTCCTAGAACTCCTTGTTTTCTTGACTTATATAAACGACTTTCCTCAGCATGTGTTGTCTGATTTGTTACTTTTTGCTGGCGACGTGGAATTCCGGGGACAAGTTCGCCACCAAAATGACAAGCTTGCATTTCGAAATGATCTGACTGGACTTCGAATTTCAGCGGATAACAACAGACTTACCTATAACACTGTAGGACTATAACTTATGGGCAAGCCGATTAAAAGTTTTTGAGCGATCTCACATTGCTTGTCTCAATACTGAATGCTCAAGTACGATCGATTTAGAGCGGATTTTAAAGGCGTTATAGTTTAGCCGCTACGACAAATTGGGTTACGTAGAAGTTCCCTTATTTGTAATGGTAGTGGTCAAATGACCCATGAACCTTGTGCAGACTATCGTGACGTTGTTTTTCGATGTAATCTATTTTTGAGGTAAAAGTCTGTCAAATCAGGAAATTTTTCTCTCAATCCCAATTGAGGCTAATACAGATTATGATAATTGTTGCGAACAGGATAATAAAGTCACCAGTAACACTGGCTGCAACCTTTGCAGATGTTACGGAAGCTTCGGCAGTTTACTGGAATGAGTATTGTTGAGATATGTATGCATTAGAAATGATAAGCTTGCATGAGTCGTTTGGACGAGTTGGCAAACTCGTAGAAATAGACGAAGAAAACGAAATTCAACAGAGAAGAAAGTGTTAAAGAAGACTGTTTAAGTAGCATTTCAATATACTTAACGGGTCTTAGGTATATACGACAGAACATCTCAAAAAGGACAATTCCAGAACGTCAGAAAGTGACAAGGTACAACTATAGTGCCAATTATAAGAGGGTATGGGCAACCGGGAAAGGAAATTTACACGGATGACTAAAGAGCATATCGATGCTCATATAGACTTGTTTATGTGCATCCTATCGCCGTCCAAAAGCGCCATTTTGTAGGTCACACCACTGGAATAGACACAAAAAATATGGTGGCCATTTGGTCGAGGCTGAAGCAACATTTGCGACCTTATAATAGCTGCAGAGGTTGACAATTATAGAGTAATCTTGATAAGTTACTGTATCGTATAGATTACAATTTCAGAACAGCAGAGCCTCTTTCTAACCTCGAAAAGCTTTTAAACTATGATAAAGGAGTGTATTCACTCTGATTTTTGGTTTTGTATAATATATTCTTACTCTGTACTGTTTTTTTCTGATTGGCTGAAATTCCTTAACTTCACTTAAGACTTATTCAAAGGTTTTCCACAAATTATAGTTTAGCCTCTTTTTCTTCATCGCTCCAGAAGAATAGAAATACAGAGGAACGCATTCCAAGACGAGCGACAAAATCAGCACGGGGAATGAAAATTCAAGCAATATGAAGTGCGCCTCAAATCACTGGTTCTTTACCCATTATGGTGTACCTTAGAGGTAATTTATGATTTACGGCATCCGAAATACTCCTGAAAATCCTCTTAAGTACCTACTTAGGTTCAGCCCCAACACAAACCTAGGAATAAATTCCCAGAAACTGGAGACGCAACACGGTAGGGCGGACTTTAGGCACACCTTCTACTCCCTAATAGTAGTCAAGCACTGAAATTCACTGTCGGCTGGGCTAGTTCAAGTGACTTACCAAGAGTCCTTTTAGAGAAAAAATTGACAGTATCCTTCTCTAATCCACTAATATTTTTCTTCTTTCGTTACACATAACTAGGTTCCAACTTGGAAGCACTGAGTATCCACTGTTAGTAGATACGGAAGCTCGTCAAGTGAAAGCTTCTTCTACTTCATCTAGAAACATTTAAAACATTTTAATAACTTCAAACCAAAAACAGTTTGAGAATACCTATATAGATGTATGTAGTAAGAACTCGACTCCATCCAGAGCAACTCTGCCCTGGGAGTTAGAATGTTTTCATTTAGAAGAGTAATGACGCCTCATGGTGAAAGCCGAGTTCCTTCGAAAGTCACGAGGCCGATACCCCTTCTGACTACCAGAGCAACAATCAACTTAGGTACGTGGAATGTTTTTATAATGTAGTAGACTAGAAATGTCATGCAAGTTGCGGTAGTAGCGAAAAGATACAACATGGAGGTGCATGTAATTTGTGAAATACATTGAACGCAGGTTTCCCAACAAAGACTAGCCTCAAGGGAGCTTCTGTTATACTCTAGCCATGAAGAAGAAAATGCTCCACATACACAAGGAGTTGCATTGGTGTTATCCAAATAAGTACGAAATGCACTTATAGGATGGGAATCTTATAGACCAAGGATCATCAAAGCCTCCTTCAAAACAAAGAAAGAGGGGATTTCAATGAACGTCATCCAATGCTATGGGCCCACCAACAACTACAATGAAACCTGTAGTGGCATTGGACCATAATCACACAAACCTCAAAGCTGAACACGAGACTAATCGGAAAATAGATATTCAATATTTGACACGGAGAAATACCTAACCATGGGGAAGGCGCGAACGAAGAATTGAATGAATTGAAGTTAATCGGATGGCATGGCTCGACCATGCAGGCGTGGTCCCTCTGAATATTACCTTATATCTTTTATTCATATTAAATATATTGTTCCTTCTCCAGCCTAACCTTGTTCTACATCACGTATTAGTAATTCATACGATACAGTGAGTTGGCGTGGTCGATGGTGTGACTTCCACGTAAGATCTTATAGATTAGGCAGTTATATGACAAATCTACAATTTTAGGATTAGGTCTATTATTCGAGCAGTACTAATATCCTAGTAGACCATAATTCCACAAGCCGATATAGATCAATTCTAAGATAAGCTGCAGTCAATCGTCAAGTAGTGCCCAACAAAGGACTTGACCATTCTGATGGTAGACCTTAATGCCAAGGTTGCAATGAAAAATACCGGATATGAAGACATCATTCGACGACATGGACTAGTAGAAATGAACGAAAATGTTGAGAGATTTGCAAACCTATGTGCCTTTGAAAAACTGGTCATAGGTGGCGCGATATTCTCACATAAGAGCATGCACAAAGTCGCATGGACTTCACCGGATCACACTACACAGAACCAAATTGACCATATTTGGATCAACAAAAGGTTCAGGAGGACGATGGGGGACGTGAGAACCAAGAGAGGAGCTGATATAGCATCAGATCATCACTTGCTGGTCGCTAAGATGAAAGTAAAACTTAAGAAGCACTGGACAACGGGGCGGACAACATCACAAAAGTTCTGTAGAGAGGGTACTACTACGGTGGGCAACTGGAAAGAGATCAAGGAGACAACCGTTTCAACACGTCGTGAGGTTCCAGGCCACAAGAAGCACCATAATATTTAGTGGATCACCATCGATGCACTGGATATGATTCAAAAAGAGAGGAACAAGAAGGCAGGAATCAACATCAGCCGAGGCATTACTCTACTCTCAACACCAGGAAAAGTCTTCAACATGGTATTGTTAAACAGAATGAACGACTCCGTAGACGCCCAACTTCAAGACCAACAGGCTGGATGCCGTAAAGATCATTGGCGTACAGACCAAATCGCAACACTACGGATCATTGTGGAACAACCAATTGAATGGAATTCATCACTCTACATCAACTAAATTGACTACGAGAAAGTATTTGATAGCGCTGACAGGACAACACTATGGAAGCTTCTTCAACACTATGGCGTGCCTGGGAAGATAGTCAATATCATACAAAATGATGGATTAAACTGCATAATCGTGCATGGAGGACAGCTTACAGACTCGTTCGAAGTAACGAATAGTATCAGGCAAGGTTGCTTACTCTCACGTTTACTCTTTCTACTGATGATCGACTGGATCATGAAGACGTCAACATCTGGGGGGGAAGCTTGAGATACAGTAGACAACCAGGACGCAGATGGGTAATCTAAACTTCTATTGCACACGCAACAACATTTACAAGAAAAGACTATCAGTGTAGCAGCAGTCTCAGCAGCAGTAGATCTCAACATACACAAAGGGAAAAGCAAGATTCTCTTATGTAACACGACATGTACCAATCGAATCACACTTGACGGAGAAGATTCGGAAGATGTAAAAACCTCTACATATCTAGGCAGTATCACTGATGAACACGGTGGATCGGATGCATATGTGAAGGCGCGGATCGGCAAAGCAAGAGCAGCATATCTACAATTGCAGAGCGTCTGGAACTCAAAACAACTGTTTGTCAACCAACATCAAGGTCAGAATATTCAATACAAATGTCAAAGCAGTTCTACTGTACGGGGTGGAAACCTGGAGAACTACATCCAGAAGATACGAGTGTTTATTAACAGCTGTCTACCGAAAATACCTTCGATCCGTTGGCCAGACACTATCAGCAACAACCTACTATGGGAGATAACAAACCAGATCCCAGCAGAGGAAGAAATCAGGAAGAAGCGCTGGAAGTGAACAGGACACACATTGAGGAAAGCACCCAATTGCGTCACAAGGCAAGACCCCACGTGGAATCCTCAAGGCCAATGGAGGAGAGGAAGACCAAAGAACACATTATGCCGAAAAATGGAGACTGACATGAGAAGAATAAACGACACTTTAGTAGAACTAGAAAGGAAGGTTTAGGGCAGGATGGGTTGGAGAATTCTGGTCGGTGGCTTATGCTCCACTGGGAGTAACAGGTGAAAGTAAGAACTCGTTGTGATCAAACATAATTAATATACACTGTACTACCGTGTACCTGAAACCGTACCAGGTAAAGAGTAGAGATTCTAGAGAAATCAGTCAATTTACATAAGGTTTTGATATAGCTATTGGATGTAGGAAATTGTTTCACTTCACCAACACAGAAACATCCAACCTTGAATATACGACCCTGGGATATTTCTTGTAATCCAAAGATGACGGTGATTGAGGAAATGTAATTAATGGTATGGGATTTATTATGGTTTCAGAAAATTCTCCGGAAATGATGAGGAAAATATTAGGGAAATATGTTCATCACATGTGCGCGTATATCCTAGTGCTAAAAGTGCTCTGGACTGTAGGGATGTTTCGGCCAGCTGCAAGGTACAGTGTATATTCACCTTTTTATCTGGATTAGATTAGCATTCAACCAGCTGTTAAATACTTTTGGGAATATCAGTATTATGTAACACGTCTCATTGCACGTCATCACGCAAGTTCACTGATTGCCTATGCAATTAAACGTAGGTAGATATTGTACAACTATTATTGTTCTGCAGATGTTAAAAAAACAGATTCTGACGAAGATATACATGTAGGTATGGTGCGGTTGCTGAATACAGAGACGGGAAAGAAGTTGCTCTTGCGTTCTTTCACGGACCGTATCACGTACATTGATTTTGCACTCCGCAGCGAGGCTCTTTTAGGCATCCTTGACCACTCTGGAGCAGTTAGTGTTTTTAAAGTTAGTAATCTGTATACTAAAAATTACGATTTTCGGAAATGTAGATTGATCAAGGGTTGGGTTCTGAAGACCCAATGACTTCGTCGTTATTCTTCTCCTTAAATCCACCAGAAAATTTTGTTCCTTTGGATATTTCTTCACTCGTGTGGTGTCCGTGGTTGCATGGGTCCAAAACTGCACTCCCACTTGCAAATGATATCCATGATGATGTATTTGTCCCACCACATGACCCAAGCCTTCTGTTAGCATATTCTGCTCATCATAAGGTACAATGTTTTTGCAATTTTGGTTCAATTAAATCACCTTCCGCATGTCATACTTTTTTAAAATCTGATTCTTTAGTGTGCTTTTAATATTATGCTAAATACATAAGCTCCGTGACGAGTATTTTGTTCTGGTTCTGTTGTTTTGCACTTGTCGACAGATCTAGTTTCATTTCATTGGTGAGGATATTGGTAGGACCGTAATGTGGACACGACAGGTCATCCCACTCTGAATTATCTACAAAAGAAGGTGCTGGTACTTGTTTAAAAAATCATTTTCAACAGTGTTACAATCAACTGTCAAGTAGTTTGTTCCCAAACTTGTGAAGTAGAAATGTGCTCTCTATAAGATATGGAAAATGAAGGGATATCAAATACAAAGTCATTGTTAAGTGATTTTAATGTCAAGTCACCTCAGATCCTATCATAAAGTAGTTCGGGTAGCTTTAGTTTAGTCCTGTCGTGGCACAACAGAATTACTACAGTATTTGTACATCGAAACATTTTATATGGTTTTTAATATCTTCGGCTGAAACCAACAACATTATATTTAGTGAATTGTCGGCTCTCCGATGCTCAGTAACTGAGTTGTGGGCAACTTTGGCTCCTTTAATCATTTTGATGCTGATTCGATATTCATAACCATAGTTTAAAGCTTTCTGTTCCCACTTACTATTAGTCCATACAAAGGCATGACTACAGTGATTTGTTTTCCTGGCCGTTCGGTGCTTCCAGGTTTTCAATAGTGGTCTAGCTTAGATCAACTCGTGAATTCAACTGAAAATACTACAATCTCCACAGATCTCCATACTGATATAGATGAAGATCATTACTATGATCAATGTCTTTGGAGTTAATGTAATCGCAAATATGGTTCGTGGATGGTGGCAAGTTCATCTTTAATGGAAGAGGTTCTTTTGGAGTTTCGAGGCTTTTGCATCAGCCTCATGTTTCTTCTTCTCATAAATGGGATTTCTGTGTCCGAAATTGTGAGCCAGATTTGAATACTATTTAAATAATACGCCTGGCACAAATGTGTAATAATTCAATTAGCCATATCTTATATCAGTACACCAAGATGAAAGCATTAAGATCAATGCCATCGGAAATGACCAGTTGCGAAAATTTGAAACGTTGTAAGGTCGAGAGTTTTCAGTGATAAGGAAATCTTTTCGCAACTTTAAATAACAGGAGTTCATCTTTCGAAGCTAACTTGACGTTTATACAAATGAATAACTGGCCAAAAGTGTATAATTATTATTTAACCCGATTTCATTCGTTCCATACTTTTTATGTGATCACAATAAAAAACAAGTAATTACTATAGTACACATCAGTCACTAATAGCGGTAGCTACATTTTAACGTTCCTATTACTACTTCGAGAATGAAAAAGGACAGATTCTCCACTTTATCCAAAATCAATATACGTACTAATTTTAACGGTCCTTATTAATTCAATTCTGGACGTGCCACGAGACTGGATGCGTAAAAAGATACTTTAGAGAGCCAGAATTGTATATAAATAAAAGTGTATGTAAACAGCCATTTTTAAATGACATTTTAGCACTCGTGATGTAACATAATTATTTTTAGGCTGGTGTTTTTCGGAATTAACACGTAATTATCAATCATTCATGGCTGTTTTCAACTCAATCTTATAGACAGTTGTTAATAGTACCGTTGTCCATCACTTGCCGATCGGTGTTCTAATTATTAGTTTTAACAATGCCTAAGCTTGTGATTATAGCACACTTGGAACTATTTTCCGTGATATCCCGTTCAAATCAGTTGTTGTAGTTTTCCACTCATATAAAGTTGTCAAACCTCATTACTTTAAACATTGCATTTGACTTCAAATATATTAAAATATGTAGTAATTGGTAATTTTTATAATAAGTAGTAAATTTATTTATTTAATTTGAATAGAGAAGTTACATTTTTGTTAAGTTTCAATTTAAAACTCCGTATTTTGGAAATTATGGTGAATAGAGATTGTCAATTTATTATTTTAAAGGTAAAAGTTATAAATGTGGGTTTAGTTGTTGAACTTCTTCAGAATCACTTTTCACAAGATGTTCAGTCGGAAGTATCAACGTCTTGGAGTGAAAAACAACTTATTGATGCCATAGAAGGATGTACAGCAGATTCATTATATTATGCTGAGTTATCGGATCATTCTGATGCGATTACTGCTTTGTCATTAAGTCGTGATGCTACTTGTTTGGGTTCTGCCAGTCTGGACGGTAAAGTTTGTATATATTCCTTAGTTAGTCGAATGGCTGGCAATATGAAGTATAAACTGAGGTTAGTTTGTTCTTTCGGACTATCTATCATTTTCTAGTGCCTGCTATTATTTGATTGTACATGGATATATTTAAACTTTATACTAATCGGTCCACTATTATCATGTTGTGTAGTATGTGGCTACGTTGGAACCAACATTTTGGTGCAACAAATTTGATGTTGCATATCTGGGGTTCTGTCGGTCATCTTAGAGGAGTAACTGATAAGGATCCCTGTTGACCTAGGCTTTGTGCTAGTTTACCATCGTACTTTCGGAATCTTATGAGGACATGCCTTTCGTGGGATTTGAACTCCTTATCCAATATGATAACCTTTAAGTCGGTTTCATCCAACTGTTATTGCCTCAACCACATCAAGTTAATCCGTAATGATTACTAAATAAGTGGTTTTAGGATCACAGATCCTTAGGTAAACCGGTTGGTGTAAGCTTCTCAACTGACGTAATTAGAGGGGTGTTTGTTAGATTATTCTAAACATGATTTTATGACACGGAATAGAAATATCTAAGAGTGGCTAGATAGTATCGTCTTTCATACTCTAGTGTCTTAATCCTTTACGCGTAAAAAAAGATTTTCCAAATTTTTCACTGGTTTCTCAATGTAGCTGAGTTGATGTCCTAATGTATCCTTGCATTTTATATGACAATGGAACGTCTCGTATCACAATGGTTATTAAATTTAACTACAAACATTCCCATTAACCTTATTAGGATAGTCACTTTGAAAATTCATCAATCGACTTCATGGATATCGTTGAAAACTCTACTTCCTCTTATATTCCGATGTTTTCAGCCGTTATAGCCTAGAATAATACTCTGATTGTTTATAGGTTAGCTTAATTTATCTTTGACATATTCAACTTTCCACCTATCTAATTTATTAAGTATTGTAAAATTGTAACTTATCTACAAAATACTAGTTTGATATACCCTTTTTCAAGTCATAATATTTGTATTCAAGGATCAGTATCGGTAATTGATTCTCCAAATTAAAGTAGATATTGGGACGGGATTCAAATGACCACTAACTTAGTAAAAGTTAAATCCCGTAATCAATAAGCTGTCGCTGTTATACTCAGTCAAACAACTGTTGAGCTATGCTAGGTAATAACAACTGTATATTTTATGTTTCACATCACAGACTGACTTTGGTTAGGCTATTGAACATCGAGGTATACTAAAAAACTTTTCCGTCCCAATATGGGACTCCTCAGTTGTGGCCATTCACGACCTCATACGAGATGGAGTTTAGGACCTCTAGGCTTCTTAACAAGCGCCTAACCTTCAGATTACTGAGTTTATATTGTAAAACTTCAAATTCAATAATTTTCACATCTCATAATAACAACTGAAATACATGTTTCAGCGAGTTTTTTTCGCTAACTAATAAAGTATTACTCATTTTAAGCGTAGTTAGTTTTTTTAATTTGAAAGTACTTTTTCTCATTCTTATACTCTTAGGACTATACCAATATAGTGAAAAAGAGATTCATTTGTTTGTTTTCGTTTGCTATATATTCACATAATTTAGGCCGATTCATGTATTTTCTCCTCATGGTGGACTACCATTGTATGCTTTAATATTTCTGGACAACGTGTTGCATAATGATGAAAGGTACATTTCGTTTCCTTTGTTCAGTCAATTCATATATTCTTTTTTATTAATGTTATCCCATTATTGATCATAAGTAAAACACTTTGTAATTTGATTCTATTACAGTTATCTCGTTCGATTTTTCTATAGGGAAACGAAGTTAACATGTTCTTAATAGCACACAAGATCTAAATATTGTATACTGAATCTTAGGTTCTAGTGTTTATCGATAATGTACTAAAATTTTTGAGCCTAAATTCATTACTTGCTTATGTGTCTATCAAGAGGAATACACTCAAAACTTTGAAACTAATATACTATCTAACAAAATAAGGGCGGAATTTGTAACATAAAATGAATTCATCATTCAATTCCCAGGTTTATGATCACCACCTTGCTGTAAACCACTCAAATTTACAGCATACAGTAGAATTTAAGAAATAATAAGAAGTCGGCATACTTAATTATTGATAAAGTCAAAACATTAACTTGGAGTAAGACAGCAAACCAGAATATTCGAAACACAGAAACCCTACATTATGCAATGTAAGTGAGCTGAGTTTTACTTATGTGTGTGTGGAAGATCTACCTGTATGGGTAAAGGAATATGCGATCATAAATAATAATGATGATAATTATTGTGGCTTAAGACAATAATCGATGTCACGCGTTAAATGCATTAATCGGAATTCCGTCTATAATTTTCTCTATCTCCTATCTACTATTTCGTTTGCAGCCTAGCACCCTGGACTTGACCATTTACACCTCGAACCCTCATAGTTAATTCTAGGCCGACTCAAGTTAAGCTCCTATTAGTCCTCTGTACTCAAGCCTTCTATTTCCGAGCTTGGGTCCAAGAGAAAAGTCAGCAACCAGCTTCCATTATTATCCAATTCAACCATGACTCAAAACTCATGCAATAATATAATTGAAATGATTGACTACACAGCACATCAAATAAAAAAATCATACTTTAAACACAATCATACCATAAATGGTACCAGACAATGCGCAATTAATTAGCTATAACTAAGGGATGGTAAAGTGTATAGCGACAGTTGATGAATCCACCGGTAGCTTACGATAAGAGGAATGTAGAAATGCAATTTTGTAGTTAACTGATTAAACAATGTAGTTAATAACAAACAGATAAATAGCTCCATAGGTTTCAGTATTTACCCCATTATCACAATCACGCTCATAATAAGTCAATACATAACTAAACGAGAAAACTAAGATTTCTTTGTCTCATTCAATAAATGCTGATGGATGCCTTAGCCCATAGTTATAGAGTAGGTTTATAAGATTTGTTATAAAGAACATGTTCCAGCTTTTTGTAACATTGGTTGACCAATTGATGATGATATGAAAATTTTGTTTTCCTATCTAACTTAGTCTTTTTTTCCCAATATTTAGTATAACATGGAGTTATCTTTTAACCGGTGCAGAGTCTAATCGTGAAATACGTCTTTGGTCATGTTACGATTGGTCCTGTCTACAAGTTATACAGTTTTGTTCTGTGATACCCAGTACAGATTTACTAAAATCTTTAAATATTTCATTATCGAAATCGAGCATAATATTAGCTGTTGATCAATCCGCCTCTTTTCTAATTGCCACTGATGTAACACGAAGAGTAAGTAAGCATAAATGTATAAGTGCTTACATACAGTTTTTCTTTTTAAAGGGAATTATAGCTCATGTATTTCACTGAAATTATTAAATTAGTACTTTTTATCCTGGTGGGTTTGCATTGTGTTCTGCAGTCTAATTCAGTTATGATACACACTTCCTACGGTTATTCAAACCCAATATAAAAATTAGATGACTGAAATAAGTACAAAAGTTTAACTACTAAAACCGAATTATTATCTCAACAAACATCAAGATATATACAATTTTACTTCTGACTCAGACAAAGATATGTATTTTAATACTGTTAATTGGGCCTAGTTTAAATGTCCATGCACGCTTATTCCAATGTCTTATTACTTAGAATAAAATTCTCTGGTTGAATTTTGTAGTCGTCTGTAATTTTCTTATCAATTATATGGTGAAATTTCTTGTATCGTATTTGAATATAGTGTCAGTATTAAATATTTCGTATGCTTGTCTGTGCAAACTTTTCTCAGAAACGTTTTCTGTGTGAAATGTATATGAAAAAATACTGATGTCACATTCGGGGCTTTCTTTATCGTCAGTAGGTTGATGTAACTGTGGTCCCTCATCGATTGAGTTGTTTGAGACAGATGTTTTGCATACCCATGCGTTGCACTTACACTTGTGTTATGCTGGTTGACATAGAGCTGGCTGAAAGAATGCCTAAGGGCAGCCTAACCAAAACACAACATTAGTCGATGAATTTATTTATTGTCGAACTAAGCCGCGTTTTAAAATATAGACCTATTGGGTATATAGGTTATGTGCTTTCAAAGTTTTCACCGTATATAGTTCCACGTTAGAGAATCGATGCAAATCACTAAATAAAGACTCGTGTACTCATTTTTATTTACACTGAGGACTAGTGATACTACTACCCGGTTGCCCAATTCGAAATTAATGCAACGGGAATTGAACCTGCGGCCTATTCGTTGAAAGTCGGATACCTTGACGACTAAATGATTGTTAGGGAGTGAAAAAACGTATCAACTAAGCAGCGTTAGACTAACTTATAAAACTTCCCTTGTAAGAATTGAAATATTTTCAAACATTTATGCCAGTATTTAACTCAGACGTTTTGTTGGAAGTGTTGGAAATAAAATTTTTTAATCTGCTCATCCCTTCGTGTAATATTTAATGCTATTAATTACATTTGATCTGGTTTATTAGCTCACTTAATTATTAGATTGTATTCAACCATCTTAAAACAGTTTTGACGTAATTGGAAATAGCCATCTATTACAACTAATCGAAATTGTTGGCTCCCTTAGTAAGGTCTAACGGATTTATGTACTCTGATCTTCTGTTTTTTATCTTTATAGTTATTAATCACAAACGTATTAACAGTGAAATAAGATTGTTTCCTGTTTTTTTATTTGTGTCAATGGAGTACAAAATCGTATCTAGTGAAAATGTTTTATGAAGTGTGATTTATCAGTCAGTTAGTCAGCTACAACGTAGGACCTGGCACATATATGCATTGGTCCAAGTTGCCATACCTCATTAACACAACAAGAATGACACTGGTTTCATAAAAGTAGTTAATTCAGTGATGGTGATTTATAAAAGAAAGATTGCATATAGGGATATAGTACAGGGAGAAAGAATTAGTTCGTAAAAAGAAAGATATGAAGTCATTTTAATCTCTTAGTTTAAGGGAAGACAGAGAGTGTATGCACCTACGCCATTGTGATCGATTCTGATCCATGTCACCAAGAGTCTCCAACCATTGGTTACGATAGTCACACGGACCCCAACCAAGTATTCTGCATCCACCTACATAGCTCAGTGTGATTTATTGAACCCAAGTATTATAAATAAGCAATTCAAATAATCACATCTATCGAATTTGTTTATTTTTATGACTGATCAGTTTCATTTAATAAGTAGATCATTTAACGACAGGATTCATTTTTGTGTTTGTTTTAATAAGTACGAAAAAAAAAACTGATCATTAGCAGTACTCTTATCATACACATCGAATTTATTGTCTAATGTTAGTTTATACTTTTAAAAGCTTTCCTCTTTATTCTATATAAATGGTAGAATTTCTGTAAACTATAGTTGTTATACTTTTTAGATTATAACTAGTAGTGAAATACAGGATATGTGTTTTGTCATATCCCCAGGACTCGTTAGTTTGTTGTATCTGTATTCCACTGTTGATATCCACACTATTATTCCAATCCAATAGTTAGCACTTCAAAAACCGATACGTTATCCATCAGGTTACTGAGCTATAACAGTCAATACGTTGTTCAATAGGTTTGATATTTATTATTAATTCGTCAGAATTTTCAATTTCTCCCTGCTGATATTCAGGATTGAATTTTGATCCATGTTTGATAATATATATTTATATCATTAATGGATCTCCTGATATTGCTTTTTAGTCACAGTTTTAGATACAATCCATCCCCTTGTGTCAACGTAAATGAATCGAAATTCAGTCATAAATGTAAACAATGAAAAAAACCCAAAACAATTACGAATAATTCTAGTTACACTTACTTACGCTTACTACTCCCAATGGAGCATAGGCCACCGATCAGCATTCTCCACCCCACTCTGTCCTGGGTCTTCCTTTCCAGTTCTATCCAATTGTTGTTCATTTTTCTCATGCCTGTCTCTGTTTCCCGACGTAGTGTGTTCTTTGGTTTTGAGGATATTTATTACTTTTTTACATCTTGAATGCTGACCTGAAATTTTCCATTTACATTGATTTTTGTTTTCGGTACATGTTCCCAATTTATCAATCCTAACAGTATTACTAACTTTACTCATATTGACATATAAAAGTGCTTACATGTTCTAATAATCTTCGTTTTTATTCCGTTTAGGTACTGTATACACTTGAATTGGCCGTTGTAAAAGATGTTCTTGTTTCAAGTGATAACGAAAGGTCGTTGTCCTCTTCATCGTCATCAATGTTATCAGTATCGAAGAAGATATGCTGTTTCATTTCTATTGGAGAATTTCTATTGACAACACCGTGTCTGTTGTTTGCTTTAGGTCCTTCTTCAAGGAAAGCTAAAACTGGTGTAGGTTAGTGCGTATCCATATGAGAATTATGTCGTATAAATAGTAGTTAATCTTTTTTGTTTTTTTTCTTGGAAGAAAACTTATTCAGTCACCCCATAGTTATATTGGATTACTGTTTGTTCTGACAACTAAAGTAATTAGTCAGTTAAATGTCCCTGTCTAATATGAATTTTGTACATAAACTTATCCCCTACAAAGCAGAACAATCTACTCTCTCTATTCTTATTACAATTAACTGGTCATTGAGTAGTTATCAATGTTATGTTTGTCTTATCTTTTAGTGCTGATCGAATTGTGTCGATTAAGTCGCAGTGTAGCCACTAGTTTAAATTACTCAACATAGTGTGCATTATGTTGAGATATTAGGTGTTTGATCGTACTAAACATAATACTGCAGATCACCAAATTTCGTTCACAATACTAACGAGTGCCAACATCCAAGAAATGTATCACAGAATTCCCTGCTGATTACCTCTAACCGCTTAACTTATCCTAATTAAACTGAAAATTGAAAATCTCAATGTTTACCTGTCATTCGACAGATGATGACCTGTCCTGTCACACTGGTGAACTAGTCGACAATCGCAACCTTAATTGGGCAATAAAGCATGATATTTCAAGCCACAACAGATTAAGGATCACAAGAGAAAACACAATTGTGTTGATATTCGTTTAATTTTTGTTACACGATTACTCATTCCACAGTTAGTTGGCTCTAAAAATTCTATATAGTTAACCATCTTTAGGATGGTTGCGATCAATAATGGGTAATAAAAGTAGAAAATTTTGACTTAAAGCACGTCAGTATTGCATAACGGCTAGTTGATATTCATACTTGTTAATAAGAGATTAGATGAAAAAGGTCAGTGGGGCTGTTATGGAAGAAATTGCATCGGTGATCTAATACCAGAGCAGGTGTTGGAAACAAGTAATGGTTCAGCTGAGTGAGCGATCCAATTAATTCATAGCTATAGAGTACAAGTTACACAAAATCCGATTGGCACCTAAATATGACACCAATACATCACTGCTTCAAATGTAATTAAAGTTTACGAACCTAAAACAGTGGTCTTGAGTGCTGTGAGAGGCATGAGGGCGGTTATCACTTTCCGGCTGCCCACACCGTGGAAGGGTTCTTCTAGGGTACCTGGAAAGGTAAATGGTCTAGAGGTGGTCTTAGTGACCTGATGGCGTGACCTCAGTGCCCAGGGGACAACTGTTTGTGGCCGATCACATACGACCTTTTTGTGAGTAATTTTCATGTCCGCTCCGTACTTGATGAGGCCTAACTGCCGGAGACGAAAGTCCGTGAGATAAGGCAACGTGTACATTTTTGGGGTCAACTTTTTCTAACCCGCGCATTGTTGACTAGTGTTGGAGACGGTTGGAAGAAAGTTATGGGCGGCCAAACCAAAACGTGGCATTAGTCCATACAGTAATTAACTTCCGGTGTGAGCCATGTTGGTACATGCAAACTGCTCGGTTGGGGGTCCGCGTGACTATGATAACCAATGGTTGGAGACTCTTGGTGACATGGTTCAGAATTGATCACAATAATGTAAGTGTATACACTCTTTATCTTTCCTTAAACTGTGAGATAAAAATGACCTTATTCCTCTCTTTCTACGAACTAATTCTTTCTCCCTGTATCATATTCTTATGTGCAATCTTTCTTTCATATATTACTATCATTGAAGTAACTACTATCAATTTGGTGTTCATTTGTTGTGCTAACGAGTTTTGGCAACTTGGACCGATGTATATATGTGCCTGGTTCTACGTTGTAGCTGACTTACTGACAAACCTGAAACAATACAAGAACTCTTGACAGAAATCACACTAGTTGAACAAACTCAATAGATAGTGACTAAAATACACAGCAATGTAAATTATTTCCCTTAAACTGATCTCTATAGTCAATCATTGCTTCTGTTAATTGAATATTGTCACTTTTTTTGGCGCGTTTTGACTTTCTTGCTTTCTCTATCTTGTTGCGTAATTTGACTAATAGTATTTATTGTGGATTATTATTGATAAGTTTCAAAATAGGATTAAACAGTCAATCTGTGTGCGCTTTCACTATAATATCACAGCAACTGTTTGAATGATCGTTCCCAAAACAACTAATTGGTTATTGCTTTGTACTGTTTGGTTTTTACTGATTGAGTTATACATAATTCAAGTTGATTTATTCCTTTATTCATTTGTGCCAGTTGTTTTCATCGTTCTCTGTTTAACTGAAAATAATGTCAATATGTATTTGTTATTATTATTTAGCTTACTGCACAGTAGTTCTTTGCATTTTTCTTTATGAGTTATGAAATATGACGGTTATTTATTTATTTAAGCACAAAAGCATTAGTACAAGGAGGCACCAAATAGATATGCGTCACGTAAATCATTCCATTTATGTGGGAGCTGGGACGCTGCTCGGGCTCCCAAACCGAGTTAGGGGGTTCTCTTAGGGGGCCACACCCCGAGTCTTTCATCTAAAGGTCTAATCCACAAGGCAATGGGGCAACGTCAGGAGACGCAGTCCCATGGTAGCCGGTGATCAACGATTGGTTCATACGCTATTTGTTTCACTAGGATCCTGGAGTCCATGTGCACCAGTGGCTTGAAGTGAGGATTTTCCAACTCTTCTATGTGGATTTTCCGTGTCCGCCAACCCGGTTAAACTGCCGGACATTCGCTTTTTGTGCTATCAGTTTCGTAAACTACACTCTCACCGCGAAAAGGCAGTGGGTAGGGCTTTCCTGGCAGTGGTTGTATGCACGTGACCATGTGAGAGCGTTTGAAGAGGGTGAGCTGACACTCCCCACTCTCGGCCGTACCAGGGTATTTGGGGGCCGTTAAGATTAGAAGACATTCGTAGGCTACTGGTGTTTAGTTACAATTATTTATCTGTAAAGCTTTAGATATATATCCTGTAACTACCGAATAATCAAGGTAATGATTGGAAATCTGTTAATGACTTTGTGGTTTTTCATCCACTGAGACGTTTGAGACATGTATCACGTATTCTCAGTCAAATCTACCTCGACTCCAATTCTAACTGATATAGGAGTTAGTTAAACGAATGTTTGGAGTGGGGAAACTGAGATACAGTATTCGTTGATCAATTATATTGGATTCAGTCATGTTGGTAGATATAGAGTCCTTATAATTGTTGTAGGCATTGGTTAGTGATCCGGGTACATTCTATCTTTATTTCCTCTTAAATCATGAGTCTCTAAATCTATTTACACTATTCTTTCTTCAATCTTAACCCAATGTTTTCTACTATTACTACTGATACTGTTATTATTTTTATTACTCTGGGATTTGTCTTAATAATTTCTTCTTACTATATGTATTATGTTTTGGCAAATTGAATTAATGCACACCACGTTCTACATTGTTGATCGATTATTCATCTTATCATGGTTGTTATTCTTTTCAATTTCATTTCACTTCAATAGATCCCCTTTCGATCAAAGAGAAAATCGGTTCACACAAAGTTTTAATGGATCAAATATGTTTGGATATACATATCATTCATAATCGGTTAGTATCTTTGCATTTTTCCCATTCCTTTGATTATTTTCATGTTGGTTTTTGTTTTAAAATTTTATCACAAACATTTTCTTAATAAATAGAAACTAATGAATAAACTGCATACCTTTGTGTATGATTAGTAAATTGCTATTGTACATGATAAAACTCTAGTTTAAGGACTGTAGCTTTAGGCTACTCTCAAAAATCCTCTCATGACTTTGAAGCCACTTTTAAAAGTCAATGAACAGAGAGTTTGTGCAAATCAGTTATATTTGTTAACAAAAGTAATCAAAGTAATCAATTTACTGTCGGTAAATTTGCCTATGAATACCTCTCATAGCCGTAAATAGTTTTGCGGAAAATTCACGTTAACATACGATATCTTTATTAACAAATTCGTTAGGGTTATAAAGATGAAATTATTAGAGAACCATCGTTGCGGCTATATCAATATGAATTAATTATGTGTAGATAGCTATTTTGACATTCCTACGTCACTAACTTATCTATTATTTAGTAAAACATCAATAAAATGATTTCTTTGTGAATTTACTATAAACAAAGTAGACTAAAAGGAAGACCGATTAAACCAAATTCTGAACCATGTCATCCAACATCTCAAAACAGTAATACTCACTGCTGACAGGTTAAACATAACCCAGGTAATTTACATCTACAAACATGGTTAAGACTAATAGTCAATGACTTTATGAACTGATGCCACGTTTTCTACCTCTTCACTAGCAAGTATCGCTTGTCGAAGAAGGCGGTTGTCCAATTTACATAACACATTGTAATTACTTAGGTTGATGAACATTTATAATCTTATCAACTGACTTGTTATCATTTATTGACACCCTGTTCCTGTTTAACTTAAACATTGCTCTACAAAAAGATATTTCTATTGTACATCTTACTTGTTTATTTTTGAGTTTTTTTCGCGAAAGTTCAAGTTAATTTTTTAATAATAATAAACTCGTTTCTATACTACAATTTTACACTTTTTATATGTGATTACTTGAATTCACTATTCTACATTGATTTAATTTTCCTTTAAACAATTTGTGTAGATTCAATGTGTTCAATTCTTCGAATTGAATAGAAATTTTCTCTATTGTCATACTGTTATTAATTTGTATTGAACTGTTAAATTACAGGATATACTTTACATTATGAATTGGTTTTAGTTAAACAATTATCAAAAAAAAAATACAGGAAGCACTGGGCAGTCTTTTTTTGTCCTAATATGATGAGCTACTCTACAGTGTAAATCCTTAACTCCTCTAAGGACCATTGCATCCAATAATTTTAGGTCTCATGTAGTGTAGTATTCGAATTTCTCCACATATGGTTCACAGCTTATACTGTAGATCTTGATGTTGACTGGTTCTTGTTGACTTTAAACCTGCCATTGTTTACTTCTTTGTTTTGGTTGTATCTCCTATTGGTTTGAATTTTGTCCTATGTTTGTCCATAATTTTTCTGATTGGTTGTAAAATTGGATCGATTTCAATGTGTTTGTTGATTGCTGATTGACCTGAGTGCCAAGTATCTAAAAATTCTCTAATGTTTTTGGAATTTCCACTATCCAATATTTCAACATTTTTCCGGTCGAATGTATGTCCGCAGTTGTCCACGTGCATTGATATAAGTGAGGACATGTCATGGCGTCTACAAAATAAATTGTGCCAACTGCGATAAACACTACATCAGACAAAACGGACGCCCTCTTCATCTTCGTCTACAAGAACATCAATCAGCAGTCAAATGATCGTTTTTCTAGTGTACTTCTAGGGTACTTGAATTCTTTCATAAATATATTACCTTATCGAACTATATTCTCCAATAATGAAACTGGTGTTATATATGTAACATAGTGTCATTTTGACTTTATTATTCGGTCAGTCAGCTATAACGTAGGATTAAACACATATATGCATCGGTCCAGGTTGCCATACTTCATTAGCAAAACAAGATGATCAAATTCATAGGAGTTACTTCAATAGTAGTAATATATAAATAAAAATTGCTGCTACCCTGAGGTGGTGGTCGGACTTGCCCATCGTGATGAACTAGTCGGGTTATACTGGCTGAAAAAATCGTCCCCCAAGGTCGGTTGAATAATTGTACGACTTAATGCAGCAAACCCAAGGGCCGACGGCGAAGTCCTACTGCTGACTGTGCAGAGGTGTGATGGCAGTAAGGTTTTTTCTTTCAGATAAACAGCACAACAGTGATACTGCCTTCCCACAAGGAAGGATGTGGCTACAAAAGGCTGACCCTAAAAATACACGTCTCACCTTATCTCACAGATTTCCGCCTCCGACGATTATGTCCCAACAATTATGGGGCTGACATGACAATTACTTACAAAAAGGTCGTATGTGACCGTTCTCAATCAGTTGTCCCTTAGGCACTGAGGTCACGCTCTTATTTTGCTAAGACCAACTTTAACCCAATTTGCTTTTCAGGTACCTCTAGAAAAACCCTTCCATGATGTGGGCAACCAAGTAGTGAAAACTGCCCTCATACCTCTAACTGCACTCAAGATCACTGACTTTATCATTACTAGTATTGGTAATTACATCTAACTTTTTGAGAGTGTGATATAATAAATTAAATGGAAACATATCCTAGAGCATACGTTTTAACAACGATCGATTCAGTCGATTTCAGTTGTTTAAAATCCATACAGATTGATTTTCTTGTGTGTGTGTGTGTGTGTGTGTGTGTCTATTGTCCCAATTGAAGACATTCTCATTGGAACTATATTTACATCACAATCCAAATGTGTTGAAAATATCAATGATTGCTCAAAGTTTTACATTTTATTTCTATCAATCATCATGTCTGAGTTAGTTAACATATGTTTGTCCCACCATCCTCCTCCCTCCCCGCCCCTCTCTTTCTCTCGTTTATCTGTATATATCTGTTGATTTAATTTGTCTTGACAATAAATCATTTGTCGCTTAAACTAAACAACAACAAAAAAATTGATGAGCAACAGCTTTGTGTTGTCAACACCTATGCAAGTGTAAATTTAAACATTGAATTAATTAACATATGACAACAATACACAAAATCTATCTATTTTACCATTTATAATTTAAATCTTTCACATAGACTTGATCATATTTATTAGATAATTGTTTTTTTTTCCAATTAACTCCAGCATTCATAATGCATACCAATGTATATGAGATGAGAATAATACATGATACAGTTAGTTATTTTATTGATCTTCTCTTATACCTTTTTTTTGGTATGATCTCATGACAAACTCCATTTACATTTCATCATATATATAAATGATTCATGTAATTTATGTTGGGTTTCACTAATGTTTTTTTTCTTTTTCTTTTTTTGATCACACTATTTTAATGTTTTATTTCTATAGAAATTTATTAAATGGTACAATTCGATTTGATCTGCCTCATCGATCTGAATCAGGTAAGCTACAAAATTATTATTGTAATAATGAAATTAAATAAGAAAGAGTATTATTGAGACTAATTTATGTAAGATATTTAAGTGATATTAATGTAACTCCAACTAATTATGAATACAGTGGTCTTGAGTGTTGTTAGAGGTTGGGCCACGTGTTACGTGTATGCCAGAACACTGATTACCACGACGTGCAATGCTAACCGGTGTTGGAGATAGTTGGAAGAAAGTTAGGAGCGGCCAAAACAAAACATGGCATCAGTCCACAAAGTCATTAACTTCTAGTCTGAGCCATGTTTGTAGATGCAGACTACTTGGTTGGGGTCCGTGTGACTATCGTAACCAATGGTTGTAGACTCTTGTTGACATAGCTCAGAATCGATGACAATGGCGTAGGTGTATACACTCTCTGTTTTCCCTTAAACTATGAGATTAAAATCTCTTCATATCTTTCGTTCTATGGACTAATTTTTTCTTCATGTTCTATATCCTTATTGAAATCTTTCTTTTATATATTACCACAACTGAATTAACTACTTTTATGAATCCGGTGTCCATCTTGTTGTGCTGATGAGGTAATGCAACTTGTACCGATGCATATATGTGCCTGGTCATACATTGTAGTCGACTGATTGACTGAACTCATCTAATTACTAGTGTCAAAAAGGGTTTATCAATCAGTATGACAAATTGGAATTAGAACTGAAAAGTTATGAGTTAAGGTTTTGTATCACGAACTTAAATAACTACCACAATCATCATCATTAAAAAGTACAAGTATTTATAAACAATTGTTTACGCAAGATATTTAATGTCCGTTAAACGCATACCATCAGCAACAGCTTATAGTGAGAGAGAACAAATCAACTTCCAAATGAAGAGGAAATTAGGAAAAAGACCCTATAAGTGGATAGGACATACATTACGGAAATCATTAGATTACATCACCAAGCAAATGCTAACTTGGAATCCTGAAGAGAAGCAGAAAAGAGGAAGGTCAAAAAAACACAATGCGTCGAGCATTAGAAGCAGACATGAAAAGAGTGGATAGCAACTGGAAAGGATTGTCTAGCACACAGTTGAATGAAGAATGTTGCTCCTTCACTAGGGGTGACATGCGTAAGTAATTTACATCACCTATCATGCCAAAATACCATCTGATCATTTGAATGAATTAGTTTCTCACCAAAATCCAAGACTTGCTACCTTTAATTTCATTGGTTTGTTCATAAATTTTTGTCTCGTTTAAAAGTCTACTCTACACACTAATAGTGGTCAGAGAATACAGATAAGGTTAAAATAGCTACGATAAATTCTCAACTAATTTTTTTTTAGCCTGATTAGATAACAACTTTTGTAAATCAATAATTTTTAAAAGTGGGAAACAATACTGTATCACAAAGTATGTTCTACAGGTTACTTTCTCTGTTAATTAGATAAACAATGATATTGAAATTCATTCACATAGATATATGAATGATCAATCTTCTCGAATCCCTTTAGATGATCGAAATAAATTTTTTAAAATTCCTTTATTGTTATTGGTTATGGTTAAGGCTATGGGTTTTAAAGTTTAAGTTTTCATGCTTTGCAGCTTTATGAAAATCCAAGAGTTGCTATCTCAGATCTTTATTCATTCGTTTATAAAATCTAATATTACTGGGTTATATGTTTCCAGTTAGTAGGTACGATTAGTGTTTGGTTTGTCTGTTATATAAAATCTATATAAAAAGAATTAAGAGTTCGTTACGTTTAACACTATCGTCCTGGACTTTGTCGTGAGAGTCCCAAAATATCCCTTGTCAAAATCTTTAGAGACCCAGAAACGCTTAATCCGATTATCGTTGAATATACACTTTCCAGAGACATCTACGAATCCAGAATCACGTGTCACGGTTTTGCTTGATTGTTTAGCCATACTAATATTTAGCATGTTCCCAGAAATTTCTAAATACTCAAGGTTATGTATTACTCTATAAATACCCTCATTTTTCCTGTACATAAACTTACTTCGAAGTAAAGTGTTTACTCACAATTTTTCGCTCTATTCTTCCAGTTGATATGTCGAAGTAGGTTAGGGTTATAAGAACTGAATAGTAAGAAACAGTTTTGGCTTATCGATAGCTGGACTTATCAGGCCCCATATAGGAAATCTTCACGTCTATTAATCATTATATATGTAAAATTGATCATGTCGAGCTATAAGATCAATTCGGAAAATCATTGTTTGTCGATATGTATTGTATGAGTGAGATTTATTCCATTAATGGCCAGCGTATTAGAATGTCAGTATTAAAAGAGATCATATCCAATAAAAGGCTAGTATTAATTAGATCGATTCACACAATGGCAAGCGTCGAATAAACCTGAAATTTGAACTTATTATCAGGGTTTTTTTTTCCGAGATGATTTTATTGGGCATTGTGTGCATAGATACAATTGATTAGAAAAAAGTAAGCATATAAAATTCAACATAAAATCATTTAATTGTAATAAAATTGTGGATTTGTATATAGTATATTACTATCTGTTTATTTCAAATGAAATTATTGAAATTCATAACGGTACCATATATGCATAAAGGTAAAGAACGACATCACGGATTCGAAAAGCTCGTTTGGCTTTTGCCAACTTGCCTCACATATGGCGAAGGCGAGATATCCGTCTGTTGATAAAAGGACGAGTATACTTTGCGACAGTTCGTTCTGTTTTACTTTACGGCTGCGAAACATGGCCATTAAGAGTAGAAGACACTCGTAAGCTACTAGTATTTGACCACAGATGCCTTAGAAATATTGCTCGCATCTTCTGGGATCACCGGGTAAGTAATAGTGATGTTCGACGCAGGGTATTAGGGAATGATGGTAAATCAATCGATGAGGTTGTGAATCTTCATTGACTGAGATGGTTGGGCCACATATTACGTATGCCCGAACACTGATTACCACGACATGCAATGCTAACCGGTGTTCGGGATGGTTGGAAGAAAGTTAGGGGCGGCCAAAACAAAACGTGGCATCAGTGCTTGAAATCACTAACTTCTGGTATGAGCCATGTTTGTAGATGCAGACTACTTGGTTGGGGTTCGCGTGACTATCGTAACCAATGGTTGGAGACTCTTGGTGACATAGCTCAGAATCGATGACAATGGCGTAGGTGTATACACTCTCTGTTTTCCCTTAAACTATGAGATTAAAATCTCTTCATATCTTTCGTTCTATGGACTAATTTTTTCTTCATGTTCTATATCCTTATTGAAATCTTTCTTTTATATATTACCACAACTGAATTAACTACTTTTATGAATCCGGTGTCCATCTTGTTGTGCTGATGAGGTTATGCAACTTGTACCGATGCATATATGTGCCTTGTCCTACGTTGTAGCTGACTGACTGACTGACTGACTGAAAGAACGACATGACTAGTTACGTTCGATTATGCCACATTGAAATGGAATTAGATTACATAAAAAATGATAAAACCATTTTTGATCATGAATAGTTACACCTTTAGAAAAGCGGAAGGGATTAACGACAAAAAAGATTTGGAGATATTTACGGAACATTGTAAAATGAAGTGTATATTGATCCTCACTATCACCATACAACCTATGAAGGGATTACAAAACTGTCACTATTCTATATAAAGGAGAAATTGAAGAGTTCAGTCAGTCAGTCAGTATCAACGTAGAACTTCGTATGTACGTACATCAGTTCGAGTTGCCACACCACATTAGCACAGAGATGCAGTGGTCGATTCAAATCTCATAGTGGTAAAGGTAATAAGAGTATAAGCAGTAGTCGGGAAGATTAGTGTTTGGAGATGTTACTTAAAGAGTATAATACAGTGAAATAAATTTGAGAGGAGAAAAAAAAGAGACAAGGAGGAATAAGGAGATCAAAATTTGGAAGAACACAGTGTGTATGCACCTGCGCCATTGCAAACGATTTTGAGCCATGTCATTCAGGGTCTCTAACCATCGGTTGCCATCATCTCGCGGTCCCCAACCAGGTAGTCTACACCTACCGACATGACTCAGACCACTTGTCAGTGACTTCATGGACTTGTGCCATGTTTTGGTCTGCCACCCCTAGATTTCTTCCAACCTACTCCTATACCACTGAACATGGCACGTCGAGGCAGTCGGTCGTTGGGCATACGTAACATGTGTCCAAGCCATCTCAACTGATGATGTTTCATTACTTCATCAATTGATTTGCCATCCTTACCTAGTACCCGTTTCCTAACAACTGCATTACTTACTCGATTGTCCCACGATATACGAGCAATATTTCGAAACACCTATGATCAAATACTAGTAACCTACGAATATCCTCTACTCTTACCGGCCATGTTTCACTGCCATAAAGTAGGACGGAACGAACTGCTGCGCAGTAAACCCGTCCTTTGGTTTATAGACTGATATCTCGCCTACGCCATAAATGACGCAAGTTGGTAAAAACTAGTTGAGCTTTCTGTATCCGTGCTGAGATTTCGTCAGACACCAGACCACAAGGGCTGATCAGACTTCCAAGATAAGTGAAGCGGTCGACACGCTCAATTACTTCACTCCCTATCACTAGTTCGGGTGTCAATGCAACCCAATCCTGAAGCAACATTTTGGATTTTGAGGGGAGAATCGCATCCCGAACACACCTGCATTGTTGCTTAGATTTGTCAGAAGACTCTGCATTTTGTCAGCGTCTTCGCCAAATAAAACTATGTCATCAGCATAATGATTGAGCACTAACAGGTAAAAATGAAATACAAGGAGGTAGCAATAGTATATATTAAACTGATCCTGGAACATCATGAAAAATAGGTCGATACTCGACTATTTACCGATAACAGTACAAACACGTATTAAACTGTGTTATAAAAATTTACAAGTGTAAATAACACTTACATCTGTATTACATCATGATATCTCTTTAATGCTGTCTGTTATGGAGTTCACCTTTATTGTTATGCATCCTAATCTAATGAGATATTCACTTTGTTATCATGTATAGTTAGAATTTCCTTCTAACCCTTTTTTTGTGTTTCATAACAATTCATTTCAGTACTGAATTTTCATTCACTACTATTCAGTAGAGTTTCAAATAGTATATCTAAACACTTTTCTACTACATTGTTGAACATCATAGAAATAAAGCATACATATGTATGTATTCTTGTTAGGTGATTGAAGTTAGGTGGTAGGATACTCAGTCGTGGCACAAATAACTTAGTGGTTACGACTGTAAAGCAGAATGATAAGGGCTTGAATCTCAAAGTGTGAATTAGTTGTTTCAAGATTACACTAGTGAGCCTTAATGACAATTAGTGTGCCCTGTCTCCAACTACTTTACATCTCAACAATAATGCATGCAATATTGAGTCACTCAGACTAATGGTCACATTGTGAATTGGTCGGGAGTTTCCAGTCAATTCCTAAGGTCTAGGCAAAAATGACTAATCAGTCAGTTTTATATATCCATACTCCTTTTTTATACTTATAGATAAACTCGAATTAATTACAAATATAATGAGGCATTCTTCAGTGGAATCACCTGTTCATCATCAGCAGGAATTAGCAGATTCTACTCTCCCCACTGCTATTGATAGCTCTAGTAATAAGGATATGTCAAGTTCAATACCTTCTCCTTTTACTTCATCACTTAACATAAATGCTATTGTTCAAGAAAAAGTTGAATCTCATGAAGTAAGTTTGCTTTTTTTTTTTACGTTTTTGTTATGAAAAACAATTTTTACTTGCGTTTTACTTCTTTATTTATTCCTTACTTTTGTTTACTTGCTAGAGTTTTTTTTATCAAGTTTCTTTTTTATGGGATGGATTTGGTAGCTGCATGTCAGACAACCTTCTTTTGTCATAGCTTGGGATGGGCAGTAACTCTAGAAGGGCTTCAGACAGAGTTGTTTAAATTTACTATAAACTGTTTCACATTGTTAGTTGACAGTTTAAAAGTGGGTAAAGTATGTAAGAGGATTTCTACGTTTTGCGTTTCATTAAGAGCTTGGATAACTTTCGAAATTTTCTACTTAGTGTTAGTTTCCCGTTTGCTTATCAAACAGTCGGATATACAGAATAACCGTTGTGAAACTGTTGTATCTTGCAATTTGTCCGTTTTAGCCTACACCAGCCGCTAATAATGAATAATCGAGGTTATTCTAATACAAATGAACTAGCAACCAACACACAGAACTTTTCACTAATGGTTCCTGGTCATGGAACCAAGAAAGAAGACAGTAGTGCAGAAGGGAACCTGATATTCCACTTAGAGAAAATTAGAGCGGAACAACTTTACATAGTTAGTAACCAGGCACAAACTTAAGACGGAGAAAAATGCCAAATGGAAGTGGTAACATCCAACCAAACGATTATAAATGTCACACAGTAATGCAAATTTTTAAGGAAATGGATTCGTGATTGTTATTAATACAAGAATGAATTAACTTTTATTAAAAAGATTGGGTTCTTAGCCGAAACATTAATTCGAAATTTGAAGGTGTATTTGCACTACTAGTATTAAATCATAAGTATGTTACTAAATTAATCGCATTCTATCAAATCTTTCTTTTTGATAAATCCATTAGTGTAAAGACGTGTATAATCATCGACTGATGTGTAGTTGGTACATATATTACATATTTTCGCATCAAGTCATTGACTATTGGATTCAATCTTTTCAATAAATGCAGACATTTTAGTCGCCATCCGTGTATGATAATCATGATCAATATCTGTAGCTATAAGTTGATATGCTTCTAACTAAACCGTATTGAAACGAATATTGTTCTTTTAATCTTGAGCCTACTGTAATTTAAAACATCGTTCCTTTGGTGAATATGGAGGATCCACATAGGGAGGTTGGAAAATCCTTATTCCAAACCATTAGTGCACATGGATTCCGGAATCCTGAGGGAACAAATGGCATATGAACCAATTGTTGGCCACCGGCCACCACTGAACTGCATCTCCTAACGTTGATTCACTGCTTTGTGGATTAGACCTTCAGGTCAAAGGCTACGTGTGTGGCCTACTAGGAAAACCACATACTTCGGTCTGGCCACCTGGGCAGTATCATAGCCCTAACGCAAATCAATGATAACTGCTACCGGTCTCATTGTTATTGTGTGACGTATATGTATTTAGTGCCCCCTTGTACCAATTTTTATATGTTCAAATAAATGAATAAATTTCAACAAATTTCTGATGTATAGTTTTTCATAAGAAATGTATTTGTTGAAAAGGAATGGTTCATGGAATAACGAGTTTTCTGTGCATCCGTTTGCCCTGTTCTACTCAATGGGTGTGAAATATAGCCACTAAGAGTGTAGGATATTCGTAGAATACTAGCATTCGATCATAGATGTCTTTAAAGCATTGCTCCTGTATTTTCGGACCACCGAGTAAGTAATGCCGAGGTTAGTGACAGTGTACCATGTAAGAATGAGAAGTCATTTGATGAGGTAATAAATCAACTAAAATGGTTGGGAAATATTATACGTATGCCCACCTCCTAATTACCTCGATGGGCCATGCTGTCTGGTACGAATAGGTTAAAAGAAAGCTAGATGTGGTCGAGCCCATGTGCATTAAGTCATTGTAATTTAGACTGAGCCAAATAGGTAGGTGCAGATTACATGGTCAAGTTTCAATGAAATTTTTACAGGTTTTGAATATACTTTATTATGATTCAAAGCCTTCAATCGGTTTTGTTTCAACTTTGAATTATGGTTAAATTCTGTCACCTTACTCAAACACCCCTTATTACGTTTTCAACAATACTATTGAAGTTGTTGGCTAAATAAATAAATATGCTGAACTTGTTGTTTATTACATCCACAGTCGTGTGTTAGACCTTCTTTACAAATAAATGCAGTTTGAATTTCATCCGACCGGTTACACATATATTTAGTCTAACCAATAAGATGTGATCATTGGCAATATTAAGAATATGGATAAAGGATCTACTTATTCTCTTATTACTAAATTTATTTAAACTGTCTATTAAAATTCATTCAAGTACATTTTTATGTACTTCATTTAGAGGCACAATTTTTGTTTGTCAGGGTTAATTATACCATTACCCAGGTACCCAAACTGTGAAATACTTGAAGCATGAATTCTAGCCTTGGATGTATTAGATTAAAAGTTGAGTGTTTCCAACACTACGTCATCAATCGACTGTTTAACTGGATGATATTTCATATGAAAGATTCTAATTTTTACCTTTAAGTTAGACAAATTTCATAGTATGTATTGATAAAGATACTAATACTATATATATATATATATATATATATATATTCGTTGTTCCTTAATTTGGCTGTCTTCACTAAATATTCTTGATAGCAATATAAATTTGCTGAGATTTCACATTCGAAACTGTCATCCAGTACAATTCATAAAACTTATCAAAAATGTATATTCAAATTACTGTATACATTCATTACAACTAATCATATTTTTAACAATCTTCCATCTTTGGCACTTTCATCTAAATCACGAATTGGTCAACATCCATCATTTTATTGTTTGTCTAATATGCTTGTAATGAAAACGCTTAAACACGTTTATATTTCTTCTGTAAGTTAATGAATTAACTTATTTAATTAATTTAATTGAACATATAAATATTAGTACAAAGAAGCCCTTAAGACAACTGCCTGCTTTCGGTCTGGGAACTCTGACAGTATCACAATGATTGCTTTCAATTGTGTGGAATAAAATATTGTCCAGTCTGTACCTTTTAAGTTCATTATTTTTGGTCGTAAATCGTGTATCTGATGTAAAGTGATCATATAGTGTATCTCGTATGAGTATCCAGTTTAATGAGAGTATATTCTTAGTCACCAGTCTTATCTCAGTATAATAATATACATTGCGGAAACAAAAGAAAAACTGAATCCACTCTTTTGTTATAATATGAGTTGACTGAAATGTAAATGAGATAATGTGTGACAATAAAGTATGACTTTAGCACATAGGAAAATCAGCGAATTAAAAGTGGCAGCAACTAATCGGGAACTAACAAAAGTCATACGGAAATATGAATCAGGAAAATTTACTGAGTGTTATATCGTTATAGGAAAAATATTAACACTTTGTAACGGAGGTTAGATAGCTTGAATTGTATCTAAAACTATGTACATATACATCAAGAGTGATATTCTTTTAAAAAAACATCTGGTAAATATCAATTTAAGGTGTAATTATGGTTATTATTGGTAAAACAAACGATAGAAATTGTAAAATTAGATGATGGGACGATACATGAACTCATTTACAGATACTTATACCGATCTGGGTTCGAGACATACTCTATGCAAGGTGTAAAAAAAAAATACTTCGCAGTTTATTGTCCAAGTTAAAGAATGTATGGGGAGTTTCAACTCCGTGACTTAGCAGCTGAAAATCAGATTAAGTAACTAACTGAGCCACCGTACACATCGAATACATATGAACTAAGTCCAGTTTTCAGAAGTTAAAATTGATCATTATCCAAAGCAAAAAAATGATGATTTTCCGATGCCAATACTTTACTTTAATGCTTAATCAAGATAATGCCGAAGCAATATAGATAAATCTTCTTGGGCGATCCGAAAGGTGCAAGAAAACCTACAAAATGACACAATCCAATGAGGAGAAGGAATTGTATTTAGGGAACACAAGTTTATACAAGTCTTCACTTGTTTGTACTGCATATAATGACAGAACTGTTGCATCATGTAATAACTAAGTACATCATTGAGATTCAATTGGTCACTTCGTACTTATTTATACAACTAGTCCTAAACTCTCGTGTCTATGTACACTTTTGTATTTACGTAACTTTTATCTATCGGACTACTTGATAATATTATTTCTGAACATTCCCTACCTCATGCCGTTTTATTTCATGTAATTTCATTCCATTCCATTTATTACCTGTGTGATGTTTGAATTGTTGGTAGTCTGTATAAAACTAAGGTGTTCTATTAATACTTTTGCACTTAGTTTCGTGTTAACAGAGTTTTTTTTAGCAAAGTTGTTTTTCTTACTGGATGAAATCGCTAACCTCCAAGTCCAACACTCCTGCGTTACCCCGAGCTTGAGACCTTCAGTAACCGTAGAAGTGTTAGGTCTAGGTGAAGTTGTCGTGTTAATATATCTGCGATTATTGAAGTCCAGTTAGGAATTTTCATTCATTATTACAAAAAATTTGGGACTTGATTTAAACAAGTTGTAAAATCTTTGAATAAGAAGTTTGATACAATACATAAACTCAAGAAAGTTAAGGGTTGAATCCATTTGAACTGTTTTATCGAAATTTCCATCATTATCCTAATTAATTTGGTTTAGACATCTGGTTAGTATTACTAGCTTTCAAGTCATGCAATACGTCTAATACACACTAAAACTTTGTTGTCTACTGAGCTTTGTTAGTCATTCAATCCATCATCTATCAACTCAAAATAGATTTTTTACTTTGTCGTGGAACTATTCTCATGAATCATAAGCTTCTACTGACAGTTTGTATTTATTTATGGTACTCGTATTTTGTGTGGAAGTGGTTTTTTTTGTTCTGATTTATAGATGTGTTCATACTGTATATCTTGGAATCAGAAAGGTAGTATATTTGTCTAAATGTGACAATTTATACAATAATAAATCGTACGTCCAATAAATATGTGGAAACAAAATCAAATATGATAAACATATTACATATTGTAACCACATTACATACACGACATGGATACTATTTTTGGGGTGAATTTATGTATGTCGGTAGTTCACAACGTGAATTGGTCTAATAAAATATAGGATACCAGGAAGCACTGAATGATTATTTAGTCCTATGTATATGAATAGCTAACTATGTGTACTAATGATTCAGGCTTGAGTGAAATATAGAATTTTCAGGCCTCGAGGCCTTACGTGATCATATTAGTGAAATGGAAGATCACAAAACAGTGATTAACATATCTGGGACATTTTCTTATACGGTGTTTAGTAACATATTCACAAGTTAATCGAATTATGATGTATGGATGGCAGTCGATACAGCAATAAATATTGGGCTAGTAACACAGAGTTTACAACCATTACTTATATAGATAAACTAACTAGTTCATAAGGTATAGCTACCCGTTTCATATTTATATTTTACCTCACCGATTTTGTAAGAATATCTACTGACAGTTGGAGGTCGCGTTGAATATTTTCTTTCATTTTATCGCATAGTTTTGAACATTTATTTTTAATCATTATGAACTCATTTTTCTATTTACTGTTTTCAAGGTTCTTGATGAGCGTGATTCCTCTGAAATACTCACTAGCAAACAATTAGGGTAAGTGAAATAATCATTTTCTATATTTTATATGTGTTTTGCCCTATGCCATTAGTTATTCAGAACTGACTGCATACTTAGTACTATTAGTCCGTTATTAGTGTATATTTCAAATGTCGATGTACAGCACCAGCTACTATATTTATCATATCTGCAACCTTGTGGCGATTGTTACTATATATTCGAACCTCCTCGTCAATGTTCCCTCATTTGGAAATGTTGCTACTTAGCTCTCGATTCAATTAATCATTTCACTATAAGATCTCACTATATGTTTTTCATCTGGCATTTTGGGCTGCACTGCATACACTACAAACAGCCGTGGATAATTCCAAATATTGAAAATGAATTATTTGATGTGCCTTCAGTAACACAGTGTGAAAATGGCTGAAAATGTAGTGACTGATACGATTTAGTCAGTACTGAACCGTATTCATATATGACATTGTTCAGTATTCAGTGACTGGCTGGTTTAACACAGGATAATAAATTTACAATATTTGTCGGTAAAATGTATTTTTTTGCAATTTGGCTTAATTCCATAATCTCTAGAGGCGGAACGGGCAAGTAGTTTGCTCCAGGATCCTAAAAGAACAAATGGCGTATGAACCTATTGTTGGTCACTGGCTACCATGGGACTGCCTCTCCTAACGTTTCTCCACTGCCTTGTGGACTAGACATCTTGGTAAAACGCTCGAGGGGTGGCCCCTTAGAAAACCACTTGCTTTGGCTTGGGCGCCAGGGCAGTTGTTACGAAACGGGTACTAGGTAAGGATGGCAAATCGATTGATGAAGTGGTGAGACTTCATCAGTTGAGATGGCTGGGACACGTGTTGCGTATGCCCAACGACCAACTGCCTCGACGTGCCATGTTCAGTGGTATAGGAGTAGGTTGGAAGAAATCTAGGGGTGGCAGACCAAAACATGGCACAAGTCCATGAAGTCACTGACAAGTGGTCTGAGTCATGTCGGTAGGTGTAGACTACTGGTTGGGGACCGCGAGATGATGGCAACCGATGGTTAGAGACCTTAAATGACATGGCTCAAAATCGTTTGCAATGGCGCAGGTGCATCCACTCTTTGTGTTCTCCCAAATTTTGATCTCCTTATTCCTCCTTGTCTTTTTTTTTCTCTTCCCAAATTTATTTCACTGAATTATACTCTTTAAATAACATCTCCAAACACTAGTTTTCCTGACTACTGCTTATACTTTTACTACCTCTACCACTACGGGATTTGAATCGACCACTGCATCTCTGTGCTAATGTGGTGTGGCAACTCGAACTGATGTACGTACGTACGAAGTTCTACGTTGTTACTTACTGACTGGCAGTATCCCAGCCTTCACACAAACCGAATGATAAAGTGTGGCGTATATGTATTCGGTACTTCCTTGTACCAATGTTTGTGTTTAAATAAATAAATTGGAGGTCTTGTTTGTGAATATATGAATTGCATGTGGTAAAGTTATAAATTATTTTTATCATTTGAACTCTTCGTGACAATGATGTTGATAAAGATTGGTGCAAAATCGACTTTTTAGCATACACTTTATGTGCTATGGGCCAGCTACTCAGATTCATATACTTACAGTGGGGTTTGAATTTCCAACGTAGCAGTTAAACGTTGTATGTTTTAAGTAATTCAGCCGTCATTCCGCAGTTTTGTTTGCTTAAAATATGTATGTACAACCTCCAGAAAATACTGAAGTCAATTACTACTCATTGAAAACTTATAGGTAAAAATCAAAGGAACGAGTGATTGTTCTTTCTTTATCCCTGAATAATTCATTATCTGAAAATTTCCACAATTTTGTATCTTTTCTTAAAACGTCTACAATCTTCAATTCGTCTATTATCCTATAAATTCTCTCGATTACTGTACATAATCTAACCTTATTAATCAAATATTTTTGTATTTCTTGTACCCTGATTTTCGTCCGATTTTCAAGAATGGAAGATTTTCTGTGAACTGAAAAGTCAATATCTAAATGTTCAACTATAGGACTTATTAGGTACCAGAAATCAGAGCTACATTTAAATTAATTTTACTGTTTAGTCTTTTACAATTACATCAAGTGTAATAATATATCTTAGTATTGTTATAACTTGTGACCGCCGATTAGGGGTCAGTGACTTATCGATCGGACCAAGGACGCGTAAAACACGTGCGAGCAGCCTAGAGTTCTGATTGATCCTGCTTTCCGCCTAACCCAGCCAGTTAAGTTCAGAACACCAATCTCAGCCTATGCGATATGAATCATTATATATCAAACATACTGAGTTTATATTACCAATCAAACAGACCACAACGTAGCATAAAATATGAAACAACATGTGTACAATATTTGGCCAAAAGTGGCTGTGGGTGAGGGAGGTAGTAATTCATAGTCAGGACATAATTGAAGAATGGTAAATCGTATAATAATAGTTCATAGGTCAAAATCAAGCTCATAATAAGAGGGACATGAATATGAATAGTTTAGTTACTTAACAATTATACAATAATAATATACGTATAGTATTGGTCCACAAATGGATCCCAAGATTACCATTCATTATTCTTGTCGGAACATAACAAGTGTATATATTTATATATAAAGTATATCACTTTCTAATTTACAAACCCTATTTCTTCATTTACCACAATGATCAGTTCATTTATATGTAAACACACTTTTCTAGTCATGATTCTTTAATGCCTAACACTTTGGAAAATCAATTGTTGATGGAGAAATTAACGAATCTAAATAGTTCTAATTCCCATTTATCTATTAAAACTGAAATTGAGGGTAATTCCAGTTTCAATCATAATATGGAAACAATTTCTCCAAGTCAACATGAACCACCGGAAGCGGAAAAACTTCAAAATGTTCTTTCTGTAACATTGTTAAACATGACTAATCAGTCGACTGAAGAACTGTGAGTTTTATATTTTACTTTATTTTTGTCATGAATCTTTTCACTAATCCCTACTTCTCTACTCTTCTTAGATTGTCTCGTTGAGTTATCCATACACTGTAACAAACTCAGTTGAATCTTGATCATTGATCTGTAGATTTTTTTCGTCTTAAAAATCTTATGATCAAACTCGTTAATTTGTCTTCTATTGATTGGCAATGTATTTTTCTGCATCAAAATATTTCCTTAAAAAAATGATGAGTTAATCTGAGGTTAAATGTAAATTTGGCATCTATTTTGAGCAGGAAACTTTCAATGAAGGGGAGAGGGGCTGACTAACATCTAAAATGAAGCGATAATACAACTAGAACGATTGTTTTTCACATAAAACACTTAATAGATCAAATAATTAAATACTACTGTTACCTGATAAGTCGTGTAAGTTGAACGCTATATACGAATCCTAAGCTATTCCCGTAACCCGCATACTAGAACTACACAGCAACTTGAACTCCAGAGAGAAGACACAAGTAGGAGAGAAAACACTTTATTCCCAGGTTCATTCTAGTACAGAAAATCAAGGGTATTTATAGATGTTGGCGTCTGTTAAATCAACATCTTATTTCAGCCAATTCGTTAACGTCATATTATGCTACCGACCAATGGTAGCACGCCACGCTGGAATTCTCGAACGTTCCATCATACTCTGATTGGCTGGGACCCTCTAGCTCCTTCTTGGGGCCTCTGGAGGCTCCATTAAAGTTCTCCGGAAGCCGACCCAACAACCTTGTAAATAACAAGCGATTATATATAGGAGTGTAAAATTTATATATACTGTTTCTAGGGCCTAATATAGATAGCATGGCATATGTTCCATAGAATTCAATATATGAAATGATTCTGAAATGGTAAGTAGATTTTTAATATCATACACATAGCAAATGACGTACATTTGTTTGACGGGGAACGTACGTACAGGACATTTATAAGTTGATATAATGCAAAATTTGTTGATCATATGAAGACCCCTTTCGACTTTCATTTTAAATGAATTCATGTAAATGGCAACAATTAATGTCCACATATACCTTGTCATTCTATTTTCTCAAATCAGATTCTCTATCATCTCGTCTTCCTAAATATCACTGATACCACGTTATTTCGACTCCTTCATAATTCATCTTTTTAATTTTATCTTATCGTATCGATGTGCGGTAAACCAACTTGAGCTAATACACATTTGTCCTAGTCAGTTAGTCATCGTAGTGCGTGGCACAAATATGCTTTAGCCCAAATTGCCATACTTTATTAGCACAACAAAACGAATAATGGAGTCGAAATAGTGTGGTAGAAATGATAATGAGAAAAACTTAACTTTGGGAATATGACTCGAAAAGTTAGTTCGAAAAGGTATATATATAAAGGAATACTAGGACTTAAGATCGAGAGTAAAATAAACTGTGAGTAAATTTGCGTCCTTGTGGACGATTTTGAGTCATGTTACTAGATTTCCTCAACCACTTATTCCGGTTATAACGTAGACATTTTTGTCTGTCTCTATGTTGATTATGACTGACTGACCGAATCATATGATCAACAATATAAATTATTTAGTGTTTAACTGTTTTTCTTACAATAGTGTTTTTGAATCTATTTCGAAAACTGCTGATAAAACTGCGATTTCTGACTTCCCACCTATGAATTGTGTACCGTCATTATGCAGTACGGGTGATAACTGTACGCTTCCGACTGAAAATACCACGACAACTCATCAACAGCATTATAGGAGTGGTGTTGCAGTTGGTGATAACGGTAATGATGATGACGATGATAATGGGGAGATCGATTTTGAAGACAATGCGCCCGACTCTGTGGACAAATTACTGTCAGGTGAATGGATATTTATTAAATTTTTTCTGTACCCATATATATATATATATATATATATATATATATATATATATATATCGTTTACAGCGCTAAATCTTTTCAAGTTTGGAGTACACTTTATCCACTCCAGGATGTAACTACACTATAGGACCATGCTAGTCAAAATCAGTATGATATCTTCCAGTTCAAATCACACTACCATCGAAAACGTGAATAGCCATTTCGTCGTAGTTGTCAACTAGTCGGTAGAGCCCACCCACCACCTCGACCGTCCAGTTCTTCCAGATTTTCAATGGTGGTCTAGCTAAAATCAGCTTGTGATTTAAACTGATGAATTATATATCTTCCAAAATTCGTAAGTTTTGTAAATCATCTGTGTTCGTTTATGTTTTTTTGATTCATCTCGAACGCCAAATAAGTTCGTCTCTATAATAAAGTTTCAGCAATATAACTGCATGAACTTTGTTCTTTATGTCAGTGTTTTTTTATTTTTCAATCACATATATTAGAAATACGTTGACTTTGTGATTAAAGTAATATTCAGGTTTTTGTGTACAGTAAAGAACATGCTGTAACTGTTCAGTGATTGTCACTGATTAATGACCGATTTCATACTTATCTTGTCTTTTAGAACTGACCTAATCCTATTCCCAAATTGTCTAAGTGATTTAACACTACGTTGAGATATCAGCCGGTTGGTGAGGTATTCACTAGAAAACGTTGCTCGTCATCAATGCATACCTGAAATTTTGAGTGAACTGATAGTTCTTGTAGGATTCGACCCCACATCTCTCAGCTTCACATTCATTACCAATTAGCAGCTATTCAAACAGTGACTGGCTTACATGCATTATTAGCTGGGACATTATTCCACACTTGATTGAGTTAGTTCTTAAATAAAAATCTAACAATGCATCATATGTAAAAACATTTCATTGAATGATTTAAACATTGTTATTAATATTTGTTCATTTATTTATTTATTTAATTTTCGTTCTCACGCAATCAATTATTATTAACTATTTGACCAGATACAACAACGAATAAAATCCCATTAAATTCAAGTAGTCCAACTCGTGATAATAATGGTAATAATGAAAATTTAAGCAATGAAGCATATACTACAACTAATCACATAGATGAGAATGACTTAATCTTTTTAACAACAACGACAACAACATCGTCAATGTCTCCACCACTGGAACTGTTGCCGCCTTCACTACCATCTCAACTCTCGTTAACAATGTTACCAACTAAAGATACTACATTATGGTCGACCACTGCTACTAATACTACTGCAAAAGAAACCCATTTACAAAATTCATCACCATTGGATATTACCTCGGCATCATTAAGCACTTGTAATTTCGTTGTTTATGATGATGATGGTGGTGGTGGTGGTGGGGGTGGGGAAGGTGAAGGTGTAGGTAGGGCTGTTGACAATGCTGATGAAGAAGGTGATGATGATGATGATTGTCGCAACTACCAATCATTTGAAGATTTGAAGTCAATTTTAAAAGAGGAAGATATTTTAAACGCCACAATTAACAGAATAGATACAGTTAATGAAACTACTGAGCATGACAGTCATAACAACAAGAACAACAAAGTCAATACCAACGACGACGATAACAGAAGAACTCATAATGAAATGAATAGAATTTTAAATCATTTGGAAATGTTATCAATAAATTCAGAAAAACAAAGTAAACAATTCGATTACATTTTAGGTGAGATTCTTTAAAATGAAAAAAAAATTTGTTTTTGTTTATTTGCAAAATACTTAGTATGTTTATTCTCCTCATATCAGATATATTATTATTGTCTTTGATAAGCAGTATTATTCAAGAACATCATTACACTACGAAATTATCATTACTTACAGCATCAGAATAATCGTTATTCTAGAGGATTTAACAGTTGATAATTAACACTTTCTTAGAGCATTGAATGCATTGTGTAGCAAAGGGTGGTTCCATTTTTTGTTACAATGCTGGTTGGCGATCTATGCTTCTCCACGTGGTGTAACAGGCGTAAGTAAGTAAATCTTGAAAAAATGAAATAAAAGTAGTGAACACGGAACAGTAATAGGCCTGTCTTTATCAGTATATTTGATGGTTTTATAACCTACTGATTTCGTTAAATTTTATTTATCAGTATGGGGGTTGTGGAGATTGTTAAGTTTTTGGTTGAGATCATGAGTCAATTGATGTTAGACCACCGTATGAAACCTGGAAGCACTGGACGGCCGTTTCGTCCTAGTATGGGACTCCTCAGCAGTGCGCATCAATTGACTCATGATCTCAACCAAAAACTTAACAATCTCCACAACCCCCATACTGATAACTAACATGTGCTCACTAGTGACTAGCTTTGTGAGGGAATTCTCGGAGTTCTAGTGAGAAGTCGTGACCAGTGGAGCTAATCCGTGTCGGGTAGAGACAGGTATCTACCTCAGTACAATGGAAGTTGGTCGCGCAATTTCGTGGATTGGTTGATGTTAGACACTAACACCATTGGATGCCGGCTCAGTGGTCTAATGGTTAAGTGCTCAGGCGCGAAACCAGTAGGTCCTGGGTTCGAATCCCGAGGGGTGCGGGATCGTGGATGCGCACTGTTGAGGAGTCCCATACTAGGACGAAACGGCCGTCCAGTGCTTCCAGGTTTCCAACGGTGGTCTAACATCAATTGACTCATGATCTTAACCAAAAAAATTTTTATTTAATCTAATCCATTGTTCTGTATACATTCTTACGATAACGATGTGAATATTACAATAGTCATGTGGTTTAAGATCAACGACAAAGTTGCGTTAGAGTCAACGGATAAAATATCAACCTGAAGAGAATTTCGATATGTACACTCAACACTAACAGTGATGAAATATTTTAAGTCCCTGTAATCTCACTAGTATAGTAAGAAACAGTGGTGTATATGTGTGTATTGATGAAGACCAATTCTTATGTAGCAACTGTTCATTACTACCTAGTTTTCTCTGATATA